GGCTCCGAGGCGGCGGCAACGTCCGCGGGCGCCGGTGGTGCTTCCCGCGGCCGCCGGTCGGCGCTGCTCGAGCTTTGCGGGGTGGGGCGGCTTGCAGGGTCGGGGGCCGGGAGGCGCCCGCGCGGGGCACTCGGAGCCGGATCTCCGGCCCTCCCCGCTGGCGTCCTCTCCTCCGCTGCTTAACTAGGTTATTCCGGCCCTGTCACCGCTTGCTGTAGGACACTTTCCTGTCCAATCTCCACGCTTTTCGTCCCTCAGACCGTGTCCCTCTAGCCCCTTCTCGATATTCTGAGCTACCCCACTCTTCTTCAGTCAGCGATTTTCAGATGTCCGCCCTCCTTTTTTAAAGGCATGATTTCCGTAGCCTTGAACTCATCAGGGCAGTCCTCCTGCTCCAGCTTCCCAGATGCACGACCACCACACTTGTGCACAAACAGGGTCTTCACCCCACTCTGACATAACGATTTCTGAGCTGGCTGGACCCTGAAGCATGGAATGCCAGGCTTGAGCGAGGCGTGGGATGTTTAAGCGCCCTTGAATTAAAAATTATGGAATGCTGTTGGAGTGGGTCCAAACCCAAGAGTCCTGGAGCTATTTTATAACCCAGCGTGCCCCTATCTGAGAGGCTGAATGCCAGGACGTAGTGTCTTGACATCTTAGCCTCTCTTTTCGTTGTGCCAGTGTAGTCTTCCCAGTTCACCTCTTCTTGCCTCTTCTGGCTGCATTTCTCCACCACCTGCTTGAGCTATGGGAACCCAGAATGAAGGCTGATAGATAGCAAAGTGATAGATGTAGTGACAGATTTTTTTTCTTTTTTTTTTTTTTAACCATTTGTTTATTTATTTAGTATGTGTGTGTGTGTTTGTGTGGCCAGCTCAGCCCACCAGGGGGCGGGGCTGGCTGGCATGTGGTGCTGGGGATCGAACCGCGGTCCCTGCGCTTTGCCAAGCTTGTTTTCAAGTCGGTGCTTTAGACCACTGAGCCATCTCTCCAGCCCCCAGATTTTTTTTTCTAAAATAGAATTGCAACAAAGTTAATGATTCTTTTTCCAGAAAAGTTACCTACTTCAGTTATTTTCAGAGTGTTGAAGCAAGAAAAGAAGGGGTGGAGTGCACTTAAAATGAATGAATAGAAATAGATTTTTTTTTTTTTTTTTTTGCGACAGTGTGGCACTAGTGTAGGCTGGCCTGGAACCTTCATGATTCTTCTGCCTCAGCCTCCCAACTGCTGTGATTACAGACGTGCACCACCACACTTGCCTAGAACATCCTTTATCTTACGAAAAAAAATCGTTAATTAACGTTTTTAGTTCAAATGCTTGCCAGGGGTGGTGGCACCCTCGGATAATCCCAACCTGTGGTCTCAGTATTTCGGAGGCTAAAACGAGGATCAGTGCAAGTTCCAGGGTAGCCTGGGCTACAAAGTGAGTTGCAGGCCGGCTTGAACTGTATAGTAAAACTCCCAAAAACAAAAGTTCTTTTTCTTAAGGCATAGATGGTCTGTCATTCTTGTTTCTCTGGAGTGGATTCTGTCTCTAAGCAACTTGGTATCTAGCATGTTAAAAGAAACATGAATAGGCACATGGAAATAAAATTTCCTATTGTTTGAGTCTTTGCTATAGATACTTATTAACCTCTTCGTGTAGTATATTTATATTCTTTTGTATCTGTATCTTTTCATGATTTTTTTTTTTTAGTTCCTCAGATTGAACCCAGGGCCTTTCCACTACCACACATCCCTGCCCCCCCCTTTTAAACTTATCTTGAACCAAGATTCATGAAGCCACTAAGTTGCCCTAATGTGGCTCAAACTTTCAGCCCTCCTGCCTCTCAATCTTGCACTGCTGTGTTTGTTGGCATGTACTACCATATCCCCTTGTCAGGTTTCTTTTTTTTTTTTTTTTATTAGGATGGTGTCTCGCTATGATATGGTTCAGGCTTGCCTCTAGCGTATAGTGATCCTCCTGCTTCACTTTCCCCAGTGCTGGGATTAAAGGTGTATGCCTCCAAGTCCTGCCTGTTTTTTTGTTTGTTTGTTTTGTTTTGTAGCAGGAACTGAACTCAGGACCTTATGCTTGCCTGGCAGGCGCTGTGCCACTAAGCTATATCCCTGGCCTTTAGTTTACTTTTTAAATTAAACCCTTTAAATGTATGTCTGGACTTCAAAGAAGTATCTATGGTTAGGGTATTCTGAGTAACTTGGGCTATACAGCTCTACAAAAATTTTTTAAGATTTTTGATAATAACTGCAGACATAAAGGAATTTATTCTGTATCAGTGACAAGTATTGTTTTAAAACTTTTTAAACGTAATCTCTTGACTACATGGGGTCCATTTTGCTGTAATGATAATCAGCAATCTTACATTATATTTCATTATCATGCCAAACAGGATTGGATGGTGAGGAAAGGACAAGATCCTATGAGAAGAGAGCAGGATGAGCAGAAGGATCCATACTTGAGATTGGGCCACTTGAAAATGAGCTGTTTGAGTGTGGAAGAGATCTGAACAGATGAAAATACAATCAGGTGGGCATCAGGGAAGGCTTGTAAGTGGGGCTGGGAAATACATGCACTGTGTTGACTGTATACTGACCCGAGCAAATCCAGGTCACATATTTTGAGTACTTGTATATGAGGTATGAGCAAATTCTGGAAGATGGGTATATAGTTACGTAAGTCACATGTCAAGTCTTTCCTAGAACAGAATAAACTGACTAGACATACACAGTATGTATGCGTATGTGCACATATGTACAGAGAGAAACAGTCCGGGGACTTAGTACTGTTCAGTAATACCAGACTATTTTATTTAAACATAAACAAATGCAGCTTTGGGCTGGTGAGATGGCTCAGTGGTCTAAAGCAACTATTTAGAACAAGCTAAGCTAAGCAAAACACAGGGACCGCGGTTCAATCCCCCAGCACCACATGCCAGCCAGCCCCGCCCCCTGGTGGGCTGAGCTGGCCACACACACACA